AAGAGAAGTCCCAGGGGATCTTCTAGGGTGCATCTGTTCTTTCCTCTTCCTGAATTACGTAGTAGCTATGTTACAACACCACAGTAGTATGAGGAGGTGAAATAGCCAAGTCTTTGAAACCTTTGTTTTTGTCTCCTGACTGAAACATTCTTCTCTCAAGATTAGAATCTGAAAACCGACAGAGCACAGAATTATAGGGATGGGAAGCAGAAATTTTGTGAGTCATTCGTTCTGAAAGTGACAAGCAAGCACCTCCACATCCACTGCTTGGTTCCTGGCCCTGTGTCCTGGTTGCTGGTTCAAAGACTATATCATGTACTGTAGATCAATACACTAACCTCAAAGGCGTTGTCTCTCCAGTGGCGCTATAACTTGAGTTTTCCATAGGTGATTATACCATTCTATAAAGCCAGGTGCCCCTGAGTGATTTGGTACATGGTAAAAGCTTTGAATAAGGTCTATCAACCAACTTCCTAATTTTGCAGAAAAATGGGTTCCTTAGGAGCCAGGTGGTCTTTGATAACAAGTCTGTGTAGAAGTTGAGTCCACAGACGGTTGTGCTGGCGGAAGTGTGATGGGCGTGCTGAACCAATCCAAACGCGTTTCAGCGAGGACAAAACACCACCCTCTCCGTGGAGTGCTGTATGAAGCCTGGCTCAGCCACTGCTGGCCAGCTGAGCCCACGAGATCAAGAACTTAGGGATCAGAGCTTTTCAGTCTTTCTTTCAGCTGGTCATTGCTCGTGGAAGGAACCGCCCACCGCATAGGCCTTGAATTCTCAGGCTTTTCGTACTGTTCTCTGATGATGGCTCCCCATGGCCTTCAGTTTGAAATGCAAGTTCCTTAGTATGGTTGTTCTTATTTGGAGCCCCGCCTACCTCTCCAGCTTCACATCTCACCCACCCTTTTTTGCAGCACCTCAGCCCCAGCCAGACTAAGCTACTTGCCGTGTTGAATGCTTTCGTCTCCAACCCCCATCCCAAGCCGCTCTGCCTCCCCTGCTTTTGCACTTGCTCTTGTCCGCCACACACATCCTTTCACGTGTCCTCTGCGTTGGCCCTTTAAGACTTTCCTCTCTTGCTCCCTCTCCCCAAGGGAAATGGATCCTTAAGCACTCATGACCCACCCCTGCAGACCCATCTACCCAACAGGCCTAGAGGACGGAAACGTGAGTTGAATGAGTAACAGACAAGTGTCTGTTGGAGCTGCCCTGGCTTATTTGAGCGCAGACAGTGCAGTGACAGCAGCAGAGCATCCCGGGGCCGATGGGAAGGCAGGGTGGGGCCTGTGGTCAGGGAGAGTGGAGGGCACTTCCTCCCCCCACTTCATGAGCCGGGATACCGCCTTGCTGTGCCATGGTCCAGCAGCAGTGAAAAGCTGGCCTCGGGGCCTGGCCAGGACCCACCTCAGGGAGCTACCACACACCTCATGTAGTCTTTGAAGGCCTCTCAGTAACTCCATGGAGCAAGGTGCACAGCGAAGGTTCACGTGTAAACCCAGAGCTCACACCTCCTACTGCTGGTGTGGGTGTTCAATCTCTCCACAGTCACTTAAGAAGAGTGCGTAATGAGTTTGTGTGGGTAGCGATGAAGTCTTGGAGGCATAAGGGATCCCATCTTTTCTTGAACATGAACAGTCACTGCCAGTTCATTTCACTGGAGGACAGCTCCTCTTACAAAACCTTTTCCTTATTTTAACGAAATCTGCCTTCCCAAGACATCCCCCTGGTGATCCTGAGCCTAAAAACAGTCTATAAAGGTGACTAGAAAATGGCATTACCTTTCTTTTTTTTTTTTTTTTTGACACCCACATTCCATTACTGATTCTTATGGGGCTTATTACCAAGTAAAGCCTCTAGGACTGTTTTCAGATGCAATTAAATCAGGCCTCATAGTGTTATTATGCAGATAGCTGAGAACAAATAAGTAAGGAACTTTACAATTAAACCTACTAAATGTTGTCATGTTGGTTTAGGCCTGGCCTTTCCCCATTGGCCCAGCATTGTAGGAATTAAGCTAGAGTACCAGAGATGTTGCGAGTGGGCAGGAGATGGCAGGAGAGAGCCAGGAACGACCACCGCTGTGGCCTCCAGGACCGTGAGGCTGTGGAGGCCTAGACGCTAGCTGGTGGGGGGAAAACAGGGAACTGGGGCAGAACTGGCCTCTGGGTTGAGGAGCAGGGGGAGGGGTGAGGATGCACGTAAACCCAGAGCAAGGTACCAGAAGAGGAGAGTTTGCAGGTACTGAGAGAGGTGGGCTAAAGGGGGGAAGCAGAATCACGTGCCTGCGGAAGGACTCCTGAGCCCCACGTGGGACATGCAGACTTAGGGATCACCAAAGCCGGCCCCCAGACACAACAACAACCGAAAGGGGCAGCGAGAGGGAAATGGCCAAATAAATCATGTAACCCACATGTGACGGAATATTCTGCCCTGATTAAAAAGGATGTTTCCAAAGAGTTTTAATGGCAGAAAGATGTTTTTCAGTTGAAGCTTAGAGGATACCAATTATGTAGTAAAGATCTGTGGCGTGTGTGTATGTATCCTATATATATGTATGAATGAATAAATATTCTGAACATCCTTCTGTATCGAGAGAGAGAAATCAGTCAAAAAGTTAACATTGCTTATAGTTTCCAAATCTGCCTCAGAGAGCATATGCTACTTTTTAAATTAGAAATTACAGTAAATGTTATCAGAATCTCCAGTTTCCAGGAATTGGGGCATAATGAATAGAGTACAGTGATAGGATCCTTGCTTAACACCTGGAATTCCGAACCTATTGCTCTTAAGGCAGGCATCCATTAGCTATTTACCAAACACTTAGCATGGGCCAGCCACTCTGTTGGGACGCATGGATACAAAGGTGAAGAAACCCCTATTGTGTTGTTAGCTGCAACTATGATAAATAGTATCATAAATTCTTGCACAACACACAGTAAGGGTTAAGGAGCAGACTTCATTGGGAGAAACACACAAAGTAACGATCAGCAAGAAGAGACATGAGGTCCCCATCTTTTCAGCATCCCATGAAGAGGCATGCTGGGCTTGTTAGTCCGATGGAGGGACACTAGAGGAGTGGTCCAGGAAAGCAGTCACCTTTCACCTGGGGACCTGTGGGAGTTTCAGGCAGGACAGACCCTCTTGCTGGAGCAAAGGAGCTTCTGGTCCCATAGGAAGCTGAGAAGAGGAGGCCCCAAAAACCATAGCCCCATAGCCAGCTACTGAGGTCATTTTCACGTGATCCTCCTTGTACCCCCAGGCACTGTCCTTGTTCTTACAAAGCTCACAGCATGCCAGGAAGACAGATATGTATCCAGAAGACCATAGTCCACTGGTAGTTTTAGGTCTTAACCACCATAGAGCTGCCCAGATTCTGCCATGGCCCATCATTTGAGCCTGCCAAGATTTGTTTGAATTGAGTCATTCCAAATTTGCTGGTCCTCACAGCTTTGTGTCATCAGCAGAGTGACAGACATGTTCTCAATGTCTTCATCCCAATGGCCCAAGAAGGCAGCCTCTCAGCAGGCCACCTGGAGGGTCCTCGGGGCTGACTGGGTCTGTGAACGCTCCGCCCCATCAGCCAGGTAGGAATCTGCCCAGAGGTGCTGTCAAGCTCCCTTGCCCCTTCCTTAGCCCTGTGGGAATCCAGACCTCCCCCAGGCTTCTCACGTTCCCCATCCAGCCCCACGTGAGCAGGTTGTCTTCAGGCCCTGTAACCTCCATCCCTTCCTCTCTCCATGCCCACTGCCACTCCACCACCTCAGGCCTCCTTTGTCTCCAGCCTGAACAACCACCATGGTCTCCTAGCTGGTCCCCTGGCTTCTATTTCTTCCTCCTCCTACCCACCTTACATTCTAGAACCGTCGTCTTTGAAACAGGTGTCCAACTGGAATATCATTCAGCAATAAAAAAGAACACACTGCTGATTCATGCTGCCATGTGATGAACCTGGAAACATGATGCTGAGTGAATGGAACCAGAGGCAAAAGACCACACACTCTGTGATTCCATTTATATGAAGCATCTAGAAATAGCAAACGTATAGAAACATAAAGCAGATTAGTGGTTGCCTGGGGCCAGGGGTGGGAATGGGGATTGACTACAAATGCCCACATGGGACTCTTTGAGGTAACAGAAATGTCCTAAAACTGGATTACGGTAATGGTTACACAACTCTGTAAATTTACTGAGAATTATTGAATTGTACACTTAAAAAATCTGACACATATGCAGGGCAAAGGGAGGGATTGATGAGGGTGGACGGGACAGAGGGTTCTGGTGTCCTCTAGAAGGATCCAGAATATTCCACTGTGTTTTTTGTGAGATCATCCAGGTGGCTTTATGAATGAGATTAATGTTATACTAATTCTTTACATGAGAGAAGATTTTTTTAACCATAGAGATAATGAATATATTCTTATTTTAACGAGATCGTTCTGACCATGTTACCATCTGCCTAAAAACTTTCTTAACCCTGTGCCTGTAACACAGAGAGTCAAGGGACCTCACCATGGCATCGGCGCCCTCCCATGGCACCGGTCTCCAGTATTCCTCCTTAAGAACCCTGCACTCCAGTCACACTGGATTACTTGTGGTGTCCCCAACACACCAGGCACGTGTAATGCCTCTGTTCACCCCTTATCTCCACCTTGTGTCCTGACCAAGCTTCATCTTTCAAAGCCCAGCTCACATGGCACCTTGGCTTAGTGGGATTGGTGATTCTTTTATCTCTATTCTCCCATCCCCTCCATTAAAGCACATTTCATTGTGTTATGCAGCCACCTGCCTCTGTCTCTTGTACTGGAGTATAAACCCTTGAGGGGAGAGACTGTGTCTTAGTCCTCTGTACATCCACAGGGCATGAAGTGGGCACTCACTAGCTCCTCATTCATTCAACAATCATCCATCTGGAGCCGGGTTTCCCAACCTTGGCGCCATTGCCATGTTGGAACAGATAATTCTTTGTGCTGAGGGCTGCCCTGCACATTGCAGGAAGTTAAGCCTCTGACCCTGGCTTACCCTCATCCCTGGCCTCTGACCGCTGCATGTCAGTGGCACCACACACACCCAGTTGTGACAACCTAGTGGGGTCTCTAGACCTTGTAAATGTCCTGGGGAGAGAACCGCTGGTTTAGAGCCTTCTCTGTGACAAGCACTGTGCTAGGAGCATCATTATGTTTGTGGAGAACATGCTGGGACCAAGGAGAGAGCCCTGCAGCCCACCCGCAGTTACTACTTGACAGCTGCCCTCAGCATGGAGATTGGTCGGCTGGGAGTCCAAGCTCAGGCTCACCAGGTCTACCAGCCCTGTAGCCCTGTCAAGCCCCAGCGCCTGCCTGGACTTTAGTTGTGTGTTGATTTCTCTTAACTCAGTCTGTCTTCACCGTTTAAGTTCCAAAACCTTTGCCTTGGTAGGAAAGACAGGAGTAAAACGGGAGTTTTGCAGTTCTGCTTTCTCACTGTCACCTGTGAACCGCCCACTCTGCCACAAGCACCAGCTTGTCCCTTCCTCTTCGTATTCACGTGAAACTACTTAACCAAAGCCCCTTCTATTGTCCTGGGGATATTCGCAAGCCTAAGCACATTCTCCCAACACCCAGCTTACAGGCTGGGGGTGGAGCCTCTGTTGCTGCCTGCCAGGAGGCTTCTTTTGCCCTTTGCCCTTTTTGCCTCTGAGGAATGAATTATTTGTGTATTCTCAGAATTTGTAAAAGTCTCCCATCTTTCTTGAGTCATCTTCCTGTTTCTAGAGTTTCCAGCTCTGCTTGTCCTGAAATCTCCTTCCTAAAGTCTATAAACACTCATTTTAATATTAAATATTTATATACTAGTAGAGACAGACTAAACACAGAACATATGACTCCAAACCCAGAGTAGGATTATCCACTCTATTACTACTACATCTCCAGGTTTCCATATTTACTTTCCCGTTTATCACATTATCTTAGTTTGAGTCCCTCCAGATACAGACCTATGAGAAGGATTTGAGTGTAGGTCATTTTTTGAAAAGTGATCCCAGGAGACATGGGCAAGGGAGTGGAGAAGTGAGGCAAGAAAGGAAGGGAGCTCATGGAATGTGTGTTATCATGCCCGCGTTTCCACTGTGGGCAAGGAAAGTTTAATCCCAGTGGGAGCCCTGGGAGGCCCAGGAGCTGCCCCACAGAAGGGAAAGGAGGCTGGAGGTCGATTCGCCAAATCCCCGTCCTCGGTGTTTGTGGGCACTTTCCGAGGCATTAGCTCTGCCTCTGTGGCTTGCCCTGCCTGGGCTTCATGCCAAGACTCAGGTGCTCCCAGGACACAGGAAAGAGTGTGGGATGTGGGCACAGACCTAGTCTTCAGCCATGTTCTGGGTTGACCATATGTCCTCAGGTTCCTTTCTTGTCCATTTCAACAGCCAGGCTTTGGGGGACCAGAATTAAGGAGTCACTCTCCTTCCTCTGTGTTCTGGGAGATTACATTGTCAACAGGGCCTGAACTCCACATTTAGTGGACTGGATCTCCGTTATGGGTCTGGAGATCCTCTTCACCCCGAGCCTGCTGCTGTGCAAATTCGGTGAGGGTGTCAGCCAAGGCTCGCCATCTCCATGCTCTGCCTGGGACCAAGGTGGGGAGAGGGGTGTGCAGTAAACAGGGGGTCCTGCTTCTCCCTGCTCAGCACCTCAGAGGGACCTCAGGGGCATTGGGTCGGGCTTCTTTGCCCTGTGTGGCAGCACACCACAGGAGATGCACCCCTCTCAGTGGGCAGCCTAGGGCCACGCACTCACCCCTGCATCTTAGGACAAGTGCACTGTGCCCCACCCTCACAGAGGACCCTGCCTCTCTGACCAGCATCGGTGTCCCAGCCTGGCAGGGACGCTTGCTGTTTTTCTCTGCCAAGACGGCTCTTCTCTTTGAAGAATTAAGTGTCCCTTCCCCATCATATATGTCCCCTGTTGGGAGGTGAGGAATGGCTTCACCCACCCCAAACCAGGGTGTTCTCATGACCAGGCTCAGCCTATCAGAATGCCCCAGCCCCAGGATTCTCATGTGTATGAACATGCAAGCAAGGTCACTCAGAGCCCTTTCCAGAATGGATGTGCACAAATTAGGAGAGAAAAATGCCTTTCCCCCGGGGGTTGCCAGGGAGCTAACTAGACATGGCTGTGACAGGCGAATATGTCTGCCAGCCGCTCCCCATTCCGTGGCCCTGGTTTTCTCTCCTTTAAGACAGAGCCATGACTGTGGGTGAAGGTGGCGGAATCTGTGGAGTGAGCTGTAATCTGGCCATCCATCCCCGCAGCGGTGGGCAGTAAACCAGGGTTGATGCAGCATTCGAAGCACTTAAAAACAATGGGCCAGATGTTCACTTAGAAATATGAATGGATCTTAAAACCGTAGCCCTGAGAGCTCACAAAATAACATTAAATATAAATGGAGTAGTTAGACAAGATAGCCTTCAAGGTCCCTTCCAGTCCTGTGTTTGTGAACGGTAGTGTGGATCACAGAGGTTAGAACTATGAACTTTGTGATCTGTTTGCCAAGGCCCCATCCCTCTTTGGTTGTGGGTACCTTCTGAGGTGTTAGCTCTGTCTCTTCCAGGTTGTGGGCCTCATGCAAAATCTCAGGTGTTCAGAGGACACAGGACTTGGTTTCAAATCCCAGATTTGCCATGTACTAATTGCAGGGACCTTGGGTGAGTCACTTAAGTTCTCTGAGCCTCCATTACCTAACCTGAAAAGCAAGGATAATAATCCCTATAGAGTGTACTGGACAGTGTAAGAGCTCAAGAAATGATGGGCAGTTCTCTTGCACTGGGTTGGCAGCATTTCTCTGGGGCGGGAGGAAGATAGACTGTTGAGGGCTTTGCCAATGTGGAAAAGCCCAGTAGGGAGTAGAGATGTGGATATTGTCTTAAAGGGAAGTGGTGCCCTCCACAGCTTGCCTGGTGTCGCCAGGTGTCCTTCAGGCTCCCATGGCCCTGGGTCAACCTCGCATCTGAGATGGGGCTCTCACCATGCCAGGCTGAGGCTGGCCAGGCACAGGAGGTAGGTCAGGCCCGTTTTCCAGAACAGCTCTCCCTCCTCCCCCAAGGGCGTTCATCTCCTGAGGTTGGTCTAATTCAGGACCTCAGATGCAGCCCTCTTTTTCCTTCCTCTTGTCACCCCTCCAGCTATCAGATCACAAGTAACCCAGAGAACACGTGACTGAGCCCCTGTGATGTGCTGAGCATATAGCTCGGCATGATGCCGTGCTCTCCTCATTGGGGTGCAGTGAACACAGGGCTGGCCCTGGTGGGCTCACCATCTAGGGGGAGACAGACAGACTTCATGGGCACCTACGCCTGCACCCGTGTGCAGAGTGCTGAAATGGGGAAGCGAAAGTGCCACAGGAATGTGAGGAAGGCCGCCTGACACACTTGGAGCGGGCTTGGGACCTTGGGAAGGCTGCCAGCCCAAATGGCTAGCTGAAGAGCGAGCCAAGGGTGGGCTGAGGGGGAATGAGGGAGGCAGGAAACGGGGATACACAGGACTGAGTGTACAGGCAGATGGAACAGAGACAAGAGAGTGCTCAGGGCTCCCGAGGGTCCAGGGGAATGTGAAGGGAGAAGTGGCCGGAGCCGTGGCCAGGCCATGTGCTGGGCTTGGGAAGCCATGTCGAGAAGCCAGGGTTTGGTCTTGAGGTTGTGTGGATCTCGGAAGAGCTTTAAGCCAGAGAGTCTCAGGGATCGATTTCTGTCTTAGAAAGACAACTCTGGCTGCTGCAGAAACATTGGTTTTGAAGGGGAGAGGGCAGAAGGGAGGAAACCTGGTAGGAGGTGTCTCAGTCATCCAGGTAAGAGTGGCACCATGTAGGGCAGGGAGGGAGATGCTGGACAATGGGGAGGGGAATGCTGAGGTGGTAGATTGGGAGAGGGAGGTCCAGGGGAGTCCAAGATGTCTTGCCTTGTCCTTTGGGTGGTGGGAAGCTGGGAGGAAAATAGATTCTTGGGGAAGGCAAGCCTGGTAGAACGTTGGTGGGCACCACGAAGGCTGTCCTGATACCCCTTCAGTGCAGGGCCTGTTCCCAGATGCAGGGAGTGCTGTGGGCAGGCAGCCTCCAGGGGTCAGCTCCTTTAGGGACTGCCTTGCCCAAGGTCTTGCCCCTTTCCAAGGCACCCTCTCCTTCGATTTTGGTGTATGAACTCCTGGCCACCGTTCCCACCTCAGGACAGCTCTGAAGGGCCATTTTACCTTCAGTTCTTCTGTGGCATAGGCTGGGGCTCTCTTTGGACCTGATTGCTGGTCAGCATCTCCCTCTGCCCCCTCCAGGTCCTTTCCCCTCCCTTCCACAGGTGACCATCCCAAGGGCTTTCCTTGGAGGAGAGGCCCTAAATATCCTTCTAACTCACTAAACTCCAACTCAGAGTCTGGTTCCCAATGACCCCCAAGGAATCATACCTCTTGTGTCCACACTCCTTTGCAGTGACATGCAGAGATGAAGTCTATTTCTCCACCCCTTGAATCTGAGCTGGCCTCATGCCTTGTCTTGCTTTGACAAGGAGAATGTGTAGAAGTGACTTTCTGGGACTCCAAAGTCCAGACTCAAGTGGACTTGCAAGTTTCACTTTTGCTCTTGGAACCCAGCTGCCACGTAAAAAGTCCAGGCTGTCCTGTTGGAGGAAGACTGTGTGGAGGAGAACTGAGGCCCCCAGCCGACAGCAGACAGCATGACCCCAGACATGTGAGTGGGCTCACCTTGGATCCTCTAGCCCCAGGTGGGCCACTCCAGCCAACACAACAGGGAGCAGAGATAAGCGTTCCCCCTGAGCCACCCAAATTCTGACTCACAGAATTGTGAGTAATAAAATGATTGTTACGTGAAGCCCCTAAGTTTTGGGGCGGCTTGTGATCAGCAACAGATAAGTAAAGCTGCATGGCTGCACCAGCAGGAAAGGCCCATGGCTCATGATCAAGTAGGGCAGGCACCCATGCATTAGAAAACCTCGGAGGGACTGGCCTTCCTGCCAGCTACCACAGGGTTAAATGCAGCTTTTATCCCCCAAGGATGAGGCTCAGGCTGTTTTGTCATCCTGGAGCCCATCACTGCTCATCTCATCTCCACTCCTGGAACAGGGAAATGCCAGTGTTATTACCTCTTAAGCCTCTCTGTGTCTGTAGAGAGCAGTGCCTCACTGCCAAAGGAGCAAATGAGGCCCAGCTTTGTGCAGAAACATTCATTGTCCTGCGCTGCTCCAGGCAGAACCCCAGCATATATTTCCCTTCTGTGGGAGCTGGCTCAGACTGCATCCATCTCACGAGCTCATTATTCATCTGATTATTTTCATGCCGTCCCAGTGGGAAATGAAAGCCATCAATAAATCACACCATTGCTGCAGATTATATTAAACGACCTGGGCAGAATGCTGGCTGTGCCAGTCTCTGTGACCATGAGGGCCAGGGCCACTTGTGCAAGGTCCTCCTCCCGGGCTGAAGAACACTTGCTCTGCTTTCACCCCAGACATGAAGCCACCTCTCCATTGCCCTTGCTATCCTTCGTGTGATTAAAATCCATGAGCACAGAAGCCCTGGCCATGTCAGAAGGCCTGAGTTCAGCCTCTGCGTTAGCTGTGTGACTTGGGGCTGGCTTCTTGGCCTCTCTGAAGCTTGGGGCTCCTCATCTGTGAAACATCCAGAAATCCTTGTTGTGAGGACAAAATGAGAAAATGAATGTGAGATTTGCACTCTGAGAAGTGCATATGTGCACACGGGTGGCATCCTATGGTCTTTATTTCAGAATAACCGTGACACGTAGAGGGTACCATGGGAGAGACGTGCTAGATTGGACATTGAAGAGCCATGAGCAATCACGTACGATTTCTTAACTTTAGATCCTCATGTTTCAAATGGACCCAGTAGTATTTGCCCCATCAATTTCATAGAGCTATTGCGAGGCTCAAATCAAATAACAGTTAGGGGAGCCCTTCGGCAAAGTATTAAGTTGTACAAATGTAAGCTGCCTTACTGAATCATTTCTTCTCTGAACTCTGTTGTTTTGTTTTGTCTGTTTTGCTTTTACCCATCTTCCTATTTCTCTGGTTTTCAGTATTATTGTGAATCTTCCCCAAGACATTCTAAGATAATCAAGAAAATTTGATCCAGTTGGTTTTTTTGGAAGGAGAAAGCAACTGCTATTATTGAGTACTCATTCCATTTCAAGCTTTCCAATATGTTACCTCATTTAACAGCCCTCTAAATGGACATTATTTGTCTGTTTTCCTAAGGGAGGGGACTGGGACTCAGAGAGGCCAAGTATCTGCTCAAAGTCACAGAACGGGAATTTGAGCTCAGTTCTGTTCCATCACATCACACTGGAGACTCAAGAGCACTGTTTTTCTTTCATTAGAGAAACTTACCCATATTTTCACCGCCCCCCCCACTTTTGACCTTTCTTCTCTGTCACAATTAAGACTCCTTTAGTTAAAACTCTTTGATGGATTCAAGGGCCATGTGAAGTTTTTGATAGTCCAGACAATCATTTTTTCGTGGTGATGAAAAAAAACAATATGATGAGCTGATTCACGAGGTGGAAGAACTTTCCCATGGATGCGTTACATCCAAGTGCCTCTGCACCAAGGAACCATTTCAGGAGAGCCACAGTCTCTATGGAAGGTTTGAGAACGTGAGAATGTTGTCTTTTTTAAACAAAGGATGGACTGATCACTTTAGGAAGAGAATTGGTTAGCATATCTACTGGGTTCAGGAGAGCCTCGGAAGTAACACCTTCCTACCCTACCCTAGTTTCTGAATGTCCTGAGAAATACAGCAAGAGAATAAGGCATATAAACACCAAACTAGCTCCTTTATGATTGAACTTGATATTTGGGCTTTCTAACCTCATATTTGGATAGATGTACCCACCTGAAATATCGGCTTGGGAATTTTCGCTCTTGGAGGAGTATAACAGAAGATGTGCTTCCTTAGGGCAACCTGTGCCCAAGAGAAAGTGCAGAAGAGGCTGGACTGCACACGCCCACTTTCTCTTTTCTAATGCTCCAATCTGAGTGAGGCCAAAAGTCTTACAAAGAATGGTGTCCCTCCATGCAGAATGAGACATGAGGGGGGAATAAGCTCCCCCCTGCACCCCCCACCCTCGCCGCCAAACAATGACATTGGAGTTTGAGGAAAACAGAAGACTAGCTAGAGCATTGTAGAATTTTCTAGAAAATATTGTTTTTAATTGTTGACGTGGAGAGCGGTCCAGAATGAGACTTTTAGGTTGATTAAACAGGGATCAAGGCATAGAAGAAGAAGAGGGCAAATGAAGTTTCTTCCTCAGAAATTACTACCTAATAAATGCCAGAGACATTCTTGTAAACTGAATAGGCAGTGAAAAATGGTTGAGACAGAGGACCCCAATTCGGGGCACCTGTTGGAAGTCCTAATAAAAAGATCGCCCAAGTTTGATTCTGAAGGCTGTACTAGGAGAGGGAGAAAATACCTTTGGCCCAAACTTTATTTGACTCATGTTTCAAGAGCTGGTTTATTCCATGCAGAAAAATTCCACCAAAAAGCATTTATGGCATAGCTTTGACGCTAAATGATTGATTTAGTCTGAATGATACATGTTTGTAAAAGCAACTATAGTGATGCCTGGTAATGAAGGACTAGGTAATTTGGATTAGCTCTCCCACTTAGCACAGTAAGAAAAGCCAGACACAATATTATTTTTAAAAATCTGCTCGAAGACTTTAGTCAGCTAACATAATGGTGAAGAGTATTAAGGAAGAACAGAACTTATGAGAGCTAAATTCAGAATTTGGGGCTCTCAGAGTATGTTCTCTGACCAACATTGAATTAAATGAGAAATCAATAATAATAAGATATCTAGAAAAACACCTACGTATTCAAAATTAAACAATGTAGTTCTATATGATCCCTGGGTCAAAGAAGAAATCCCAAGGAAATTAAAAAGTGTTTCCAACTGCAGGAAAATGAAAATACAATAACTAAATTTGTGGATTTAGTTAAACCAGTGTTTAGAGGGAAATGTATAGATTTAAATGCTTATATTAGAAAAGATGAAAGGTCCAAAACAAATGCCCAAGTTTATCCTTTAAAAGCTAAGGGAAAACAAAAAAAGAGAGGCAAAGTAAACCCAAAGTAAGTAGAATTTAAAAAAGATAAACGCACAAATTAATATAGAAAAGATCAAATAACGCAAAAAATTAACAAGGTCAAAAGTTGTTTCCTTGAGAAGATTAACAAAATTGGTAAATCAATCCCTAGCTATGGTGATCATGAAAATACAGAGAGAAGACGAATGACTAATATCAAGAATAAATAAAGCATTATTACCACAGACATTAAAAAGTAAGGGGGTGTTATAAATAACTTTATACCAAAAAAATCAATGCCATAGATGAAATGGACACATAACTTGAAAAATATAGTTGCCAGGAAATGTCACAAAATGAAACAGAAACTCAGAATAGCCCTGTATCTATTAGATAAAATTGATTGGTTGTTAAAACAACAAGAAGAACAAAACTTCCCGGAAATAAAACTCTGGGCTCTAATATCTTTACTGGTAAATTCTATAAAAAATTGAAGGATGAAATAAAATAATACCAATCTTATATGAAATCTCTTGGAAAATAAAGAATGTGGGACCACTATCTGACTAAATTTTTGAAGTAAGCATAACCCTCATACCAAAAATCTATGCAAGATATGGCAAAAATAAAGTAAAATAAAATTAGATAAATACCCCTTATGAACAGAGATACAAAAGTTCTTAACAAAATTTTAGCAAATTGAATCCAGAAGGCTAGTGCCCCTGTGTGGCTGCCAGGTCTGAGGGTTTGCAGCAGGGGTCGCTCTTGGTTCAGCAGGCAGGGAAAAGTGAGGACAAGCTGGGGTCCAGAGGGACCCCTGCATATGTCTGCCACCACATCTAACCGTGATGACCTTCAGAAAGGAACAGCTGCTGTTTCACTTCTACCTTCCAAATCTATATAAGAAAAAATTGGGGGTTAGGAGAGGCGGACAACTGTACCTGACTTCTTCTACAGGTAACTCAGGGATTCTGGGAAGCCTAATTTCGGTTTAGACGAGCTGGCACATTCCAAACCCTGAAATCAGCAGAGCAATGACCTGCAGGGCAGGTTGATGCTAGTGTCATCGAGGGGGCACATGGGGACTTCTGGGGGGCTTGCGACACTTCTAGCCTTGGGTTATGGCTACGTGGATGCTCACTCTGTAGCTGTACATTTTTGTTTTGTGAACTGAACGTATGTAATATTACAAAATCAAACTAAAAAAAAAAAAAAGCAACCGTGACACGTCTCTTTCCCACTCTACCACCTACTTTGAAACAACTAGGCCATTCTGTGCTGATTCTTTCTGGAGAGGAGATGATAGCGAAAATGCAAAGAAAAAATAGACTTTTCTCCCTGACATTTTGCATTTCAAAACTTAAGCTCTTCAGGTAATGGAAAATTGCACAGCCACTCTACTGTATAGACAAATGTCAGTAGTGGACTTGGATTAAAGGAAAACCCGGACACAGGCATTACGTGGGTAAATCAAACAGTGTTTATTTATCTAAAGTAAAAAGATGGAGGCCATGAAGTCAGGACACAGAGTGGAGAGACTAGCAACGTTATTTGGGACAGGCAGAGGTGACCACGCAATAGGCTCACACTTGTGTATGATAATGTCTGAGCAAGGGTGGCAGCAGACCTTTTTGAAGCTTGACTGCCCCCATTTGTGCCAGCTTTGTGTCCTGAAGAGAAGTGCAGTTCTATCTACTAAGACTGGTGCTGTTGTCTTTCTCTACTTCATCGAGGAGGGTAATGCCAGGTTTAAAACTGGTGCAGTTCTGCATATGGGTGAGTGTGATTATGTGCCAGGACCACATCACCTGAGCCAGAAGCTCTCATCAGTCTCAGGTGGCACTATGTGCTACGTGACTCAAAGGACATATGGTATAATGCAGTCCATGTGGGCACAAATGCAGTCTCTTTTGCCATCCTTCACCTCCCCACATCACAACAGCCCAGTCTCCATGCCCAGGTGTCTCTGGGAATCATGCTAACAGGCCCTAGGACCAGGGGGAGGACATAGTGCCAAAGTCATTGCAACAGGAAGAAAATATCACGGGCAAAAGCAAGACTTCTGCCACCCCTGTCCTCCAAACTCCAGATAAGTCTTCCTTCCCTTCCCTAGGCTGGGGTTATGCAGAGTTGAGAGATGTGGTATTATAAGCTGTCATCTCTCTGCTCCTAAAAGCTCTTCTATACTCTGCTTTATGACGGTGAAGCTGTAACTTTGCAACTCAGTTTCCTTGTTGCCAACAGCTCCCTGCCAGGTCCCGCTGATAAGGAACACTAAAGGGAGACCGGAAGACAGGAGGATGGAGAAGGGTCATACTCCTGTGTATTTGCTGTTGCTGTCAGCGTTACCCTGGCAGCAGAGTTGGGTCCAGTTTCCAGTGTTTCTCTATGATCCCGCAATCGACCCATCACACCCCATCAGAGGTAACTTAGACCTTCCCTCTGGGCTCTTGTGGTTCAATGGCATTAGCTCATGCCCCCTCCTCAGAGATTTGAGTCCCAGCTCTGTGAGACCCCTCTTCCAGGGTGCTGAGTTCTGATCTCTTCCCTTTGTTCTCCCAGTCCTAGGAGTGGTAGCTGTTTCCTGCAGTTACATGTTTGCATGACATCAGTGTTCTTTTTCTGCCTTTTCAGTCCTTTGATAGCCGTCCAGCCAATTCCCTCTATTAAATCCTCTCATTGGCTGCTAATAGGTACGGGTTTTCTCTTTGGTGTGATGAAAATTTTCTGGAATTAGATAGTGGTAATGGTTGCACAACCTTGTGAATATGCTAAAACCCACTGAATTGTACACTTTAAAAGGGGGAATTTTATGACATGTGAAGGATACCTCATTAATATTATAAATACTTTATGTTGAATTACCTGACTGGAAACTGATTAATAGAGCATTAATCAAGGAGAGCGTGGTGTCTAATTTTATGTGTCAACTTGGCTGGGCCACAGTACCCAGGTCTGTGGTCAGACGTTATTCTGAGCGTTTCTGTAGGGGTGTTTTGGATGAGATTAACATTTAAATCGGTGGACTTGGAGTAAGATAGATTGCCCTCCAAAATGTGGGTAGGCTCATGCAGTCGGGTGAAGGCCTGCACAGAATAAAAAGACAAGTCTTCCCCAAGCAGGGGAGCATTCTCCAGCACACTGCCTTTGGACTTCATCTGCCCATCTCTTCCCATTTCTACATCAGACAGCCTTCGGACCTGAACTAGAACATCTGCTCTCCTGGGTCTCCAGCCTGCCAGCCCAGCCTGCAGATTTTGGACTTGCCAGCCTCCAGAATTATGTGAGCCAATTCCTTATAATAAGTTTTTCTTTATACACACACACACATCCTGTTGTCTATTTCTCTGGAGAATCCTAATACAAAAGCAGCTGTTGGCAGTCCCAGGGAGAGGAGAATCAACCTTGCTGAGACCCTAACGGATAGATTTGTGGGATCGTGCAACCACGGGATGATCGCCAGGAGCTCGAGAGAGGAGGAGGGAGGGACTTTTGGAGACCATTGACTGAGGAGTAGAGGGACGATAGACATTTAATGATGCTTCCCTGACTTAATGATATTGATGATGTAATAGATCTCCCCGCTCTTTGAAGCCTTGGTTCTCTGTAAGTCCTTTGGAACTCAAATACCACCCCAGAGAAAGTGGGATGAAATTAATTAACTGAAATTAAGTTTATAGTACCCCCGCAGAGCTCCAAAGAGAAATTCAGGCCAGTATCGAGAATGTTAGAAAAAGTGTCCTTCCTCGTACATTCGCGCTTGTGAATTGGGATTCACAAGCACTTCACAAACATTTGCTTTTACTTGTCTACTTTCAAGATACATGTTGGCATTTTGTGGTATGACATGAAATGACTTTTCAGAGATAGAACCTTCATTTGTGACTTTGCCACTCAGTGTCAGGGCAGCTGTGTATCAAGGTTATTACAGTGGCTGGCTATGGGCAGAATGTTTGTGGAACTTACAAAATATAATCTAAGATTGATGCAGAAGAATAAAAGTCCCCAAATAGCTGTCGAGTTTGAAAAATAAGAGCAAAAAGAGAGAACACAATTTATCAGACAGAAAGATATGATAACATATGGCAAAGCCATGGGTAGTTCCTGTGCAGGAATGGGCAAATAGATATATATGGAAAGGGGAGGGACCCTGGAAGCAGACCCCTGGACATGGGAGCATGGTGTGTGACAGAGTGCCACAAATACCTGGGGGAAGAGAAGACTGTTTTTTAGATGGCATTGGAAAAACTTACTCTATGAAAAAAAGAGTTGAATGCCTATTTCTTGTCCTATACAAAGGTAAACCCCACTTAGATTTAAGAGCTACATTTGAAAGGTGAAGCTATAGAGTTAACAGAAGAAATTGTTGAAATACATCTTTGCAACTTGATAGCCAAAAACTTCTTAAATGGGACCCTCAAAACCTCTCTTCTTAGGGAGAACAATTAATGCATTTGATGATATCAATATTAAAGATTTTGTTAAATGATCTTCTTAGATGATGTTAATAAAGAGATGACAGATTGGGAGGTGTTTTTTATGATGTCAAAAATTATTGGGACAAATGGGGAATGTTGGATATGAACCCTAAATCAGACATTAGTGGTATATAAATGTTAAATTTATTGAGTGGGGGAATTTTATTATGGTTTATGTAGGAGAATGTCCTTGTTCGTAGGAGATTTACACTGAAATATTTAGTGAAGTGTCTGAAACATTGGTAATCACAGAAAGGAAAAAAATAAAGCCAAAATGAGATACACATTACACACATCAAGTTGACAAAAATAAGAAAGCCAGGTTATGCCAAATGTTGGGGAGGCCATGGGGAACCAGAAACCATGATCTCTATAGTCTAGAGGTCTTAAAGGGCCATCTGGCAGTGCAGAACGAAACTGGACATATGTGTACCCTAGCACCTAGCCACCTGCTCTCAAATGCCAGAGAACCTCACTGGGACTGAGATGGTCACCATAGTGTTGCTTATCTTAGGGAGGATGTGAAGCCACCTAGGGCCTATCCCCAGGGGATTGGATCAGGCAAATGAGGTAGACACCTACTAGTCAGGGTCCACTTCCTACCCAAGCCTTATTAGAATCAGAAGCCAGAACTTCTGAAAGACCTGGAGAGAGGGGCCAGAAACAGGAGAATGGGCAGGTGGCAGGGGGAACCTGTGGGAGGATTCAGGAGTCAGGGGTCTGGAATTAGTTTGAGTTGAGGAAAATAAATATAATTATATTTTTGCATGTTTAAGTTTATGAGTAGAGCTTTACTCCTGCTATACTGTCATTAGCAGCTGTTAGGTTCCCTAACTCCCCAGGAGCCAAATGGAAAGATAATGCTTAACCCAAAAGGACTGGATCCATAGTGGTGGAATTTTAGGCAGAGGAGAGTCTAATGGGGGGACATTTTTGTATGATGGTAGTGGGAAACCCATGGTGCAGCACACATGAAATTTTATGCATGGCCTAAAAAAGATTTTCAGAAATTCTAGAGCTTCTTTTTCTTAAGCAAAATGTATAATGGTGTCCTAAAAATAAATACCCACTGTTTAGATGGATGCTAGCAAGGTCTTAGCAGTGTATGTGAAGGTCTTTTCAGGGAAGAAAAATAGATCAGTGTTCATTTACTGTGTAGAAAAAAAAAAATCCCTCAAGTTTTAAAAGATTAATGTATCAGTTCTTTTTGCAGGTGTTGATTGTTATCTTGTAGCACTCAAAGGAATTTAAATTCCAATGCCTTTGTCTCTCTTGATGTAAAGTAAGGGACAGATATTGAACTTGCTATAACCAAGGGTGAGGACACAGAGTATCCTTGTCTAGCATCAAAGGAGTCTTTGCTTGTTGAATTTATGCAGGGACAAAACCTTGGGAAGAGAACTCTCTGAGCAGTGAGCATGTCTGAGAAAAACCTGTTCCAGTTCCCGTCCCCCCCTCCCCCCTCCCCCGCCCCATCCCCCTGAGACCTAGGCCAGGGTGAGAGGGAGAAGTGAACTTGGACTGAGCTGAAACCATGTGTCAGGGCCCTGGGCTAGGCATCCTATGAGGTCTGGTTTGTATTTCTCACACTTCCCCTCATGAAGCAGGCATCGTTCCCACCCAGCTTACAGATAAGAACACTGAGGTCCAGAGGGATTAAAGCAGCTGGCCCGAGGTCACACAGCCAGTCCACGAGCATGCTAGGATTCCAACGCCAGGTGGAATTCCTACTGCACTGGGCTGCCACGCTCAAACAAAAACTGAAAAATATTCTGAAGCTTTCTACCAGGCCTCAACAGCGTTCCAGCTAGTTTGTCTGAGCTTGTCCTAAAGATGTCCCCCACCCTTCTTAAGATGCTTTGGCATTCTGACGCAGTCAGCAGAAAATAGCTGCAGGAGCAATTACTGCCCCAAATTGAATCTGTAAATTTCAGGTCATTCAGATCTCCATTCCATATGCAGACTTTATTAATACCGCAGCTTCAGGTTCAAAATGTCATGTTCACTGAAAAATAGGAAAAAAAAAAACCCAAAACAGTCCATTGTAGCCATTGGGGCTCTTACAGAGTGAGGCTCAGCTGCCAGGGACACTTACCAATTGCCCAAAGAGATGAAGCTGGAGGAAATGCAGTCTGGCTTCCAAACCTTTAATAGGCTACGATTTTGAGGCTCTTTGCCTCTAACCTTTCAAAATTCCTGCTCTGCAGGGAGGAAGAGGCATCAACTAGAGATCAAGGTTGATGAAAAGCTGAATATTCAAACTGACATTCACCAAGAATGATGAGGGAGGGAGCTTTAATGGCATAACAAACGATTCTCCTGAAAGAAAATGTCAGGCAGGCAATTTTTTTTCTTGGACTTTCTTTCCTCATCATCTCCGGCCCCCCTCCCACAATCCACCCACACACACTTAAATTTTGGCTTATTTAAACTTCAGGAGATTTGCCAGCCAGGCCGGAAGAAGTGAAATTAGGACAGTTCCAAAGCCTTGGTTTTCAGACACTAATAAATTAGGTGAATGATAAGGCATTGGTGAAAACCTGCAAAGGGGCCAATTTTAAAGTGATTCTTCCTGCCTGCGTCAGCACTGGCTTTGGTGGGGCCTGGGATCATGGTAGAGAATCTCTCAGGTCATGGGAGTGTGCTCTGCATTCTGGCATATTTGGGGATGGAGAGGTAAAATCCCATCCTGAAGTGGATTCAGTGTAATTAGGTCCAACAGAATTGTTCTGCTTCCAGATGAAATGTTTGTTTCAAACAGATCAGCTTTGCAAGGATGTCACTGAAAACCCCGACTGTCCTATTAGGAGATAACAAGTCTGTGCGCAGTTAGTCTGTGGCTCATTTGGCTTTGCCTGGTGTTGGATTTTGTGTGATTATGGGGTCCTCCCTTGGGTTTTTTCTCCAAAGAGGGAAATGACTCATGTACTATGGCCTCGTTATTTACAGGAGAGTGGCAAGATCTCATAAAGAAGGTTCTAAATATTAATGTTTCAAATTGAGACGGTAAATTTTTGCAGCCAGTTCTATTTACCTATATCTATGTTTGTTCTGTCATCCCTATCTGTCTGTCTATCTACTTACTTACCTACCTACCTATCATGGTCTAAATGTTTGTGTCACCACCACATTCATATATATATATATTTTTTCCGGTATGCGGGCCTCTCACTGCTGTGACCTCTCCGTTGCAGAGCACAGGCTCCGGACGCGCAGGCTCAGCGGCCATGGCTCACGGGCCCAGCCGCTCTGTGGCATGTGGGATCTTCCCGGACCGGGGCACGAACCCATGTCCCCTGCATCGGCAGGCGGACTCTCAACCACTGTGCCACCAGGGAAGCCCCACATTCATATTTTGAAATCCTAACCTCCAAGGATGATGATATTAGGAGGTGGGGCCTTTGGGAGGGGCTTAAGTCTTGAGGATGGAGCCCTCATGAATGGGATTAGTGCTCCATAAAAGAGGGTCCAGAGACATCCCTGGCTCCTTCCACCTTTCAAACAGTAAAATGGCACCGGCTATGAACCAGGAAAGGGCCCTCACCAGACCATGTTGGTGCCTTGATCTTGGACTTTGCAGCCTCCGAAACGGTGAGAAATAAATTTCTGTTGTTTATAAGTGGTATTTTGTTATAGCAGCCTAAACAGACTAAGACATCATCTTTTTGCTCCTTCTTTTCCTTCTCCCCTATCTATCTATCTAATCATTCAACAAAATACTTACTGAGCTCCTACTATCTTCCAGGTCATAGGAAAAGCCCAAGACAAGCGTTTTTGAAGACCCCAGGGACCAACACTTGAATAACCTCCCAGAACTTATTAAAAATGCAGATTCCAGACCCCTCTTCCAGGAATTCCGATCCAGCAGCTACTATTCATTAAGCACTTCCTAGGTACTAGGCAAGGTATATAATAGCATCTAATCTTTACAGTATCCATTCCAAGGGGGATGATTATTCTTCCGATTTTACAGAGGCAGCTCAGAAAAGTTGAATAGCTTCCCCAAAGTCACATCTATTAAGGGGTAGGATTCTAACCCAGATCCATCTGAACCTAAAATCGGTGCTCTATCCATCATACTGCTCTTAGTTCAAAACACTACCCCAGTTCTGATGCCAGCCCAACAACTGGCAATGTACCCAGTTAGTTAGGCTGATAATGGTTTTCCTTTCAGTGGACTTGATTTGGGTCTTCCTCGGATATTTTCTCTGGCTGGAAGCATTTGGCCCCAAAACCCAGTGTCTGCAGGAGGAAGTCTAAATTCAAGGGTTGGCATTCAAGGCTCTATACAATTGAGCTTCCTCTTATTTTATCCCTTTCAGATCCCTGCACAAACTCTGGGGCCAAGTTGGTCTGCCCTCCATCTTTTGAATGCCAAGAGGTTGTTATAATGGAGGAAGATTCTTTCATCTTTTCCAAGGCCAGCCTTTCCACACACTCTGGATCCTATTTCCTTACCTTCAAGGACAATCCTTTCTTTTCCCTGTGTGATTAATCTCCTCTCTTTCTACAGTATCTCTTCAGCAGGTGAAATGCTCTAAGGTCTCCGGTCTTTAAAAACTCCTCCTTGAGCCTGCATTTCCCTCCAGCTATTGCATCATATCTCATCTCCTCTTATCAGCCAGACTTCTCAAAAGAGTGTTTTCCAATGCAACACTTCCCATTCATTCTTCTGCCTCCTACTGAAATTGTTCACATCAAGGTCACCATGAAAGTTTTCATGCCGACAAATCCAAAAGATTTCCTACTCTCACCTTAAACTCTCTGCAGTGTTTGGCATAGTGGACTACTCCCTTCTTTATTAAATACTTTCTTCCCTTTACTTCTGACTCATCTGAGGGTCAACTGCAGATGACAGAATCCACCCTAGCTAGCTTAGGCAGAAAGAGATTTAATAGGGAGAGTCCAGTGCTTATAAAAGCATTGGAAAGGTTGGAGAGGCAGCTGGAGACTGTCACCCTCCACATCTGATCCAGCAGAAACACCTCTGAGAAGAACACTGAAGAACTGGCCTGTCACAGGAGCTGCTGCCTCTGCCATGGCTGGGATGCTGCAACTGGGTCCATTTTGCCCCTGCTGTAGTCCATGCCAACTGAAGGAATGCTCCATACCTGCCTCTCAACACTCACAAAGTTAGGGACTCCCAGGACGCTCTGCTACAACTGTTCCAAAAAACCAAATGCCCCCATGGCCATGCTTGCCAGGAGGTGCAACAGATATGTGCTATGTCCCGTCTTCCAAACTGTGAGTTAGTGTACCTGCTTGGAGAAAGCTAGGTCACATGCAGATCCGAGCTGGAGGGGAGCATGGGTATAATATTCTTTGGCTTCCCATCCTCTTTGTGGGCAGGAAGGCTCATTGCAAGGAGGTGGGAATGAAACTGAATGAGCCACAGCTTCTCTGTGGGAATGAAACTGAATGAGCTACAGCTTCTCTGATACCACCATATTCTAATTTTCATCCTTCCACAGAGTCCAATATTTCTCAGTCTCTCTGTTCAGCTGACCTCTATATATCAAAGGGCTTCAGACATTGATTCTGGATCCTCTGCTTTTTCTCTATCCTCTCCCTAGTGATCTCTCCCAGCCCCATAGCTTTAAAAAAAAAAAAAAAAATTATTTATTTATTTATTTTTGGCTGTGTTGGGTCTTCGTTTCTGTGCGAGGGCTTTCTCTAGTTGCAGCGAGCAGGGGCCACTCTTCATCGCGGTGCACGGGCCTCTCACTGTCGCGGCCTCTCTTGTTGCGGAGCACGAGCTCCAGACGCACAGGCTCAGTAGTTGTGGCTCACGGACCTAGTTGCTCTGCGGCATGTGGGATCTTCCTAGACCAGGGCTCGAACCCGTGCCCCCTGCATTGGCAGGCAGATTCTCAACCACTGCGCCACCAGGGAAGCCCCCCAGCCCCATAACTTTTAATCTCCCATTTTGATGAGTCCCATTTGTGTGTCTCCAGCCCTGTGTCCTTCTTGACCTGAATATCTAAGAGCATGCTCCAAACAGAACCCAGGATCTCAGTAAAACACAGCATCATCATCCTACTGCTTCAACCCAAAACCCAGGAGACATCCTGATACCTTGCTTTCTTTTCCTCTCAGTGGTATATCCTGAGCAAGTGATGTCACTGCATCCTCCAAAAAAAACCCCACTGCATCACAGAGATTTCCCCTGGCCTCCCTATCTAAAGAAGCCTCCTCCCTACCTATTTTTCTCTGTTATATCAACCTACTCCTTAAATTCTCTTTTTAATTTATACGTTTACTAATTTGTTGACTGTCTCCCCTTCTAGAATATAAACTTCATGGAGGCAGGAACATCACCTATCTTATTTCCCATTATCCCTCTAATGTTTAGAGCAGGGCCTGGCACATAATTGTTGCTCAATAAATATTTGTCAGATGAACAAGTGAAAGAATAAATGAATGATGACATGATCACGAAGGCCCCTTCCAGTCTGAAATAGTCAGCCCGCTCAGAATGATCCAAATCTTACCCATTCATTAGTGCTCAGGCCAAGCCCCATCACCTTCAGGAAGTCAAGGATGGGATTCTCTTTCCCTCCTCTGCACCAGTCATTTGACACATGGCACGCATCTGGGTGTCAGCATTCTAACCACATTGCCCATGTTCTGTCTTTTCATCTAGACTCTCTACTTGAGGGAAGGGCAGTTGCCATGACCTAGTAATAGCGTCCAGCATTTACATAGCTGTTCTTGAGCCATGGGAGGTAGACAAACCTTCTCCCTAAGTCTTATAACAGTTTCACTAGTGCGAGCTAGTTGCTGTCAGATGCCACTTGATAGAGGAGGCTCGGGAAGTTAAATGACTCACACAGGGTCACATATTAAATGACAGATCTGAGATTCAAATCCTGAAGCCCACTTCCTGCCTTATCTTTGGGTCTTCTGGGTCCTCAGGTTGGGTTCACAGTAGATGATCCATAAAGCCTTGTGAGATTGATGAGTAAGAGTGTGGGGTGGCAGAATGAACACTGTTCTAGAGAGCAGGAGACCCAGTTCATGCTTTGGGTAGCTCTGAGCAGTCCCTGCCACTCTCTGGGCCTTGGGGCCCCTTGGCAAAGGGAGTTGTTAGGTTGGATGATTTCTGAAGACTGCGGATTCATACTCTGGTACCCCAAGCAGCAACTCCTTGGAGAAAAGAATCTTTTCTTTCTCAGTTATATCCCCAGTGCTTGCAACAATACTAGGCACACAGTAGGTGCTCAATAAATACCTGTTGACAAATGAATCCTTCAACCCCTCCCTTCATCTTGGTAGGACGGATGTGCTGGAGCGAGGATTCAGCCTTCTCCAAGTTGCAGTTAAAGGGAAAACTGACCAGAGGGATATGGTGGTTGGTCTGGCATTGAGTGTGCTGGGCTCCACATGGTGGTTCCAGATCCAGGAGACTGCTGAGATCTTGGGAAGTGTGGCAGCCTCCAGCCAGACCCTATTTCCCTACCTGAATGAGCTGTTACCCAAGGCAGTAAAGATCCTTTGCCCTCCTCCGTGTCTCCATTTCTGGTCACTGCATAAGACATCCCTTCCTGGGCTGATGGCTACCAGCTCTGGCTCAACCTGTAATGCTGTCCACTCTAAATGACCCGGCGGAAGCAGCTTGGCATGCTGTCTGGCTTTCATTTTGTGGTCAAGTCCAAAAGCTCCAAATATATGTGACCCTGAGATTATAAAAGAAGATCAAAGGTTTCCTGGCAGGCAGGCCTGAAGGTTGCCTTCTTAAGTCCCTGCATCTGAGTGACCAAGGCAGAAGGTGAGAGCAGCCTTCTAATTCAGCCTGCGGTTTGCACACCCCCGAGGCTTTACTCTGGGATTTTGACACCTCACTTGGGAGCCTGCAGCAGGAGGTCCAGCCCTCTGGGAGGCTGGCAAACCACCACAACGGCTTGTCTCCCTGCTGAGGGACATAGCATCAGCCCAAAGGCTGGACAAAGCTCCTAGAGCGGCTCCCATGGCAAGCATCAAGGGGGGAGTTTACAATCCCTCGTAGGGGCCTGGTTGAGCTCTCTGGGAAGCCCTGGGCCATCCACCCAGAGGCTCCTCCCTCCTGCCTCTCTCTCCTCCCCTTTCACTTTCCCCCCTCTCCCCATCCTTTTCTTCGTCCTTTGACTATGATTTTCTTTGAAGGAAGAAATTGTTTTGCCCCAGGAAACTCATTTATAGCAAAATAAGTGAAAGGTCTGGGCATCTTGCCCCACATGGGGCTCGTTTTCAGGTTATTGCCTTAGCGCGCCTTCATATGGCTCTCTGGAGCTTGGAACCTCTCCCTGCCAACATTACACCTGGTTTCAACTGGAGGGGAAAGGACTTCAGCTTTTCATCTTCTGGGCCTTTTTGTTATTACTGGAGCCAAGTTTTGGCCTGGGATCAGATAGGGGTGAGGGGTCTGGGAACTGGATCTGGAAAATGTCCCGGAGGCGGGGGGGAAAAGAAAGCTTCCCAGAGCCTTGGAGCGGCTGCCCCTCCTGGCTGGGGTGTGGCTGACCTGCAGCCAGACCAGCCTGGCGAAGGATGGAGCCTCTGGCCTTAGGGTCGTTGCTGATTTTGGATGCACGAGAAAAGACCTTCTTAGGCCTCTTGAGATGAGGAATTTTACGTGATTTGGCTTAAGGGAGAGATGCATAAAGATGTGAAAAAGCAAAAGGGTTAAGCTGGGAGAGAACCATATGCTAAATTTCCTGAGTAGAGAGATTGCTTTTGGGGATAGTTTATAGGTTAGTGGTTAATATTTCCTTAAAAGCTGGATTATTTCTATCCCTTATTTATTATTTTTTTAATGTTGCTTTGAGAAAAACCAAATTATCCTTTCGCATGCCTAAGAGGATTTTGTCTATCGTATGTTTCAGGATCTTTATGGTGTGCATATCTAGCAAAAACCATTTCCCATAAA